CGGGACAAGGCCAGAACCAGGCTTACTGTTCGGTCACCACCCCTGCCAGCAACGTTCGAAAAACCGACAGGCTACGAACATCGCTGAGCAGCGCCAGGCAACGCGGAGAGCGCAAGCTGCGCGGGTCGTGGACGAGTGTCTATGGGAAAAACCCCAAGCAAGCCAGTATCACTTGCAGTTATAAATAAATTTGTTTTCTTAGATCATGAAACATTCTTGTGTTAACCTAAATTCAGAGAAATCAGCCACCCCCAAATTCAAGTCAGAAGTCTCTGGAGTTTGCAAACACCAGACAGAAACAGGACCTCCATCTGCGGGCTTGTGAGTGTGCAAACACACGCGCTTCTGGGCACTACTTCACAGCAACAGGGTCAGCAGCAGCGACACTCGCACGCGTGAAAGCGCTGGCCCAGGCTGCCCAGGGAGGCTGTGGAGTCTCCTTCTCTGGAGATATTCCAGACCCGCCTGGACGCGGTGCTGTGCAGCCTGCTCTGGGTGACCCTGCTTGGGCAGGGGGTTGGGCTGGGTGACCCACAGAGGGCCCTGCCAGACCCCACCATGCCGGGATTCTGTGATTCTGTGAGACGAGAGCGCTCCAGCACCCTGACTCCCAAACCAAGGAGAAACGCTGCAGCGTGTGGCCAGCACGGCGTACGTCCGGAGCGTGTCCGTTACGGTCTGCATTCCCATGGCGCCAACACGACAAGAAGCAACGCTGAACACCAGCTACCCACCCCGCCTCCCCCAAATCTGTTGGTTTTTCCCTCCACAGATGAATGAGATCCAAATAACGTCATTACCAGCACCACAATTTGCACAGCGTCTGTCGTCACGCAGGAGAGCGGCTCCGCTGAGCGTGCACACAGGAGGGCGGCCGCCGAGCCAAACGACCGAGGGTTCACTTTAGGTTCCTCGCTCTCCACACGAGCCCGTCACACGCGTTTGCCAGCAACGATCCCCGAGTGACGCCAGCCCCGCGCAGAGCGTGCGGCAAACCCCGGCACGCTGGCAGGATCAAACGGGACGGGCAAAGAGCTCACAAGCAAAGGAGCCTCCCCGAACCACCACAACAAATCGCAGCAATGATTACGCTGTGGAAGTCTCATCAGGAGTGAGGATTCTACAGATGTAAAAATCCGCAGACGTGCCCGGGCAGCGGTGTAATTAATTAGCACACATTTCCCTCTAACTTGATCTGTTACCTGCATTCCCGCCGCCCCAGGTTCACTGGGGAGACACCAACCAACCTCCCGTGCCGTGCCCTTCAGACCCCAGCACGTGTTTAGCAAAGTCCGAGCTCAGCTCTGGTAACGACCGGCACGACCACGGGCCCCGCAGCACCGAAGCCCCTTCCGCCCCGAGGTCCCACTCCCAACCGCGCCACGCTGCCGCACGCTGCCGCGCTCTTCCTCTCACGGGGACGTCTCAAGCTGATGGATCTAGACTCTGCTTCTTTCAGCAGTTTGAAACGATCTTCTCTGAAATATTAATACATGTAATATGGAATATTCAACGGGATTTTGGGTAAACACCTTGTGAAGGCTGCGGGAGCCCTCCCGTAGGCAGTGCTGGCCGCCTGGGGACGCAGGCAGGGGCACCGCCGGGCAGGGCTCCACGGGCAGAGCCACCCAGGCTGTGCCGTGGTGGGTGGCAGGGCTTCACCCCAGCAGTGCCGCTGGCAGCTCCCCCCCCCAAA